TGGAATGTAGAAAAAGCATAAATAAAATAATATGCAAAACAGTTACAATGTGGTATAAGCAAGCTGAACAAGCCTTAGGCAAGATCTTAGGCATCAGACAGTATCACCTCTAATCTGTCTTTAGTCACTGTTTACTCCCTGCAGTATTGAGAAGTAGCAGGGGAAAGGATAGGGCTGAAGATACCACACCTGTGAAACTGACTGTAGGTGCCTAGGGAGTTCCAACAAGCTGTCAGTTTAGATGGCAAAAATTAAGGAGCGTGGACTTCCATGTTAGAGCAAAATGGAGAAACCATTTATAAGATTATTGCAAAGTATGAACCTTAAGTAATTGCAAAGGAGCTACTTGCACAACCTTTCATCCTGGCTCTCACTTTAATGAGCATAACCTGTTTAGGGAAGTTATATGAAAAGCAGTACAAGTCCAAAATAGGTCTCTGAAAAGCAAAGAGGATTCAATAGGCTATAAATGAGCAGATTGTATCAGATTCTACCTTCTTCATGAAAAAACTATTCCAAGTCCTGGTACTAAAACATTACTGAAATTACAAGCAAATATTATTATTAATAGTAATACTATCAATACTAATTATTAACAGAGTATTAATAGTCTACAATACATACATTTCTCAAACACTATTAATCAGCATACTATTTTGCTATTCTGCGTATGCTGTGCCTCACCTAAAAAATCCACTGCACAGCCTGGAAGGGTTTACTCTCTCACTTGTCAGTATGGACAGGTGAGGGTCAAAACAGCAGGTGCCAAGGTGCATTGGAAGCTGCAGATCCAACCTTGCATGCGGGTGGATCAGGGCACTGGTCACTCAAGATTGCCCCAAAAGATGACAGTCCTGGCTGGAAACTTCCCAATTGCCTAAGCAGCCATTTTCCAACCAGATTTGCCTATCACACATGCCCTTGGTCATCGTGCTTGTAGTAAGTGTGGGTAAAAGCCCTTCCCAAATCTTCACTCGTGAACCCAAGCTATCAATTTTGCTATGATCAGTATCACTAGGAGGACACTAGCAACAAATGTAAAACATACCAAAACATGGCATTCTACAAGGAAAGCATCACATAAGCATAGAAGTCCATGGAAGAAATGTAAAATACCAAAAATCTGCTTCTGAAAGGGTTCTAGTTTTTAGAAACCACCTAGAAATGTTACTGAGTCAGTGACATAGGAATATGCTAAAATGGCCTAGTAAATATTGGGGGGGAAGGCAAAGAAAGCTGACTCGCTGCCATTTTCTGTGAAGGGCTCCATTTCATACAGCAAGCACTGCTCCTCCAGGCCTGCATATCCTCCCCCTCCCTTCTTTTCATACACATCCAGCTTCAATTTCTCTCCTTGAAAAAAAAAAAAAAAAAAACAGCTGCTCTCAGGGTACCTCCATTTCAGCAGCCACCACCACTGCAGAGGCCTTAATCTGCTGCTGTGTGTTATAAGCATTCAGCATTTACTCTAATTGAAATGACTATGAACTGATTACTGCTTGGTAGCTAGAGATAGCTAGAGATGAAGAGAGTTGTCCTTGTGAGCTTCCCCTTACACATAGCTTCACACCAAACCCAAAGTTTCTGTTCCACAAAACTCTGGTCTTTTGAACATAACCAAAAGGGTTCTGCATGTCTATGCTCCTGATGTTAACACACCTACAAGAGAGAAGCTTCAAACTAGGTTCACCCCGAGCAACTCCCAGGTAGCATTCAACATCACTGCAGACATTTCAGCACAGATTTTAACTATTTCACATAGCAGAATTCAGATCCTTGCCATCAGGCTCAAAGGTGCACCAGGTCCCTTCCTACATCCATTTTCTTACAGAAGGGTTTCTACCAGTTCACTTTCCTGCTGTAGCTTTCTTCAGCAGCAACAGCAAATGCAGAAGAGCTATTATTTTAAATGCAACATAAGCCAGCCCAAAAGCAAAACCCTGCCCTGCCTTCCAATTCACAGCAAGAACACATAATCATGGGTGAGGAAAGACTAGGTAGAGAAGGTTAACAAAGATAACAGTTCATCTATGATTCTACGATTTGTCACCATCACTTCAAGTAACCTACTGCTGCTACTGAGATCATAGAATCAACTAAGTTGTAAAAGACCTTTAAGATCATTAAGTCCAACCATTTCCCCAGCACTGCCAAGGACACCACTAAACCATGTCACTAAGGGCCTCATGTACAGTTTTTGAACACTTTGAGGGACAGTGATTCCACTACTTCCCTGGGCAGCCTGTTCCAATACTTGATCACCCTCTCAGTGAAGTTCTTCCTAATATCCAGTCTAAACCTCCCCTGGCACAGCTTGAGGCCATTACCTCTTGTCCTATCACACTTGTTACTTGGAAGACAAGACCAACCCCCACCTCACTACAACCTCCTTTCAGGTAGTTGTAGAGAGCAATAATGTGTCATGTCGTGTGTGTCGACCCCGTCCCCCCCCCAGAGCCCTCACTTCTCCAGACTAATCAACCCCATTTCCCTCAGCCAATCCTCATAAGGCTTATTCTCCAGACCCTTCACCAGCTTTGTTGCCCTTCTCTGAGACCTGCTCTTTAATGTCTCTCTTGTAGCGAGGGGCCCAGAACTGAGCACAATATTCAAGATGCAGCCTCAGAAATGCCAAGTACAGGGGGATGATCACTTCCCTGGCCCTGCTGGCCACACTATTTCTGATACAAGCCAGGATGCTGTTGGCATTCTTGGCTGCCTGGGCACACTGCTGGCTCATGTTCAGCCAGCTATCAATCAGCACCCCCAGGTCCTTTCCCTCCAAGCAGCTTTCCAGCCACTTTTCCCCAAGCTTGTAGTGTTGCATGAGGTGGTTGTGGCCCAAATATAGGAGCCAGCACTTTGCCTTACTGAACCTCATGCCCATCGATCCAGCCTGCCCAGATCCCTCTGCAGAGCCTTCCTATCCTTCAGCAGATCAACAGCCCCACCCAACTTGGCGTCATCTGCAAATTTACAGAGGGCGTACTTAATCCCCTCATCTAGATCATCAATGAAGATGTTAAACAACACTGGCCCTAATACCAAGCCTTAAAGGACACCACTAGTGACCAGTCCCCCACTAGATGCGATGCCATTTACCACCACTCTCTGGGTTCAGCCATCCAGGTAGTTTCCAACCCAGCAAAGAATCCTCCTATCCAGGCCATAAGCAGACAGTTTCTCCAGAACTATGTGGGAGACAGCATCAAATGCTTTACTAATGTCCAAATGCACAATGTCCACAGCCTTTCCCATACCAACTAGGCAGGTCACCTTATCGTATGAGATCAGGCTGGTCAAGCAGGACCTGCCCTTCACGAACCCACGCTGACGGGGCCCGATCCCTCCATTTTCTCTCATTTGCTCTGTGATCTCACTCAGGATGATCTGCTCCATGACCTTCACTGACACTGAAATCAAGCTGACAGGCCTGTAGTATCTGGTGTCTTCCTTCCTGCCCTTTTTGTAGGGAGGTGTCACCATTAGCCAACCTCCAATCCTCTGGGACCTGCCCACTAGACCAGGACTGCTAATAAATGATGGAGAGTGGCTTAGCAAGCCCTGTGCCAGCTCCTTCAGCAGTCTTGGGTGGAACCCATCCAGCCCCATAAACTTGTATACTTCTAAGTGGAGCAAGAGGTCACTAACCATTTCTTCCTGATGTTACTATCACTGACTTTTGTAGCAGTGACTGTAACACAGCTGCCTTACCCCACTGGGGAGGAAGCACCAGGGAAAAGATAGGAAAGGCAACTGTCATAGTTTAAGCTCAGCCAGCAACTCAGAACCGCACAGCTGCTCACTCACTCACCCCGCCTCCTCCTCCCCCCCCCCCAGGGATGGGGAGGAGAATCGAAAGAATACAACTCCCACGGGTTGAGACAAGAACAGTCCAGTAATCAAGGTATAATACAAAACTACTACTACTACCACCACCAATAATAAAAATAAGGGAAACAACAAGAGGAGAGAATACAATTGCTCACCACCTACCAACTGATACCCAGTCTGACCTGAGCAGTGATCCGTGCCTTATGGGTAACTGCCCCCAGTTTATATACTGGGCATGACATGCTGTGGTATGGAATACTCCTTTGGTTAGTTTGGGTCAGGAGTCCTGCTCCTGTTTCCTTCCAGCTTCCCGTGCCCCTCCTCACTGGCAGAGAATGAGACTGAAAAGTCCTTGATCAGAGTAAACATTACTTAGCAACAGCCAAATACATTGGCATGCTATCAGCACTGCTCCCAGACTAAAGTCAAAAACACATCCCTGAACTAGCTACTAAGGAGAAAAATGACTGCTACTGCTGAACCCAGGACAACAACACAGAAGTAAAGCCCTACACAAGGCACAAAACAATAGTTATTCAGCCACTTGCTCCCTTCCTGTTGTGCTAGCCCTTCATTGGCCTCACTCAAGATTAGGAAGGGGCCCAAAGGCACACACCCCTCCAACCAGACCCACTTATCCTCTGAGGGGTACAGCTGCACCCTGACTTCTTCACACCCCCAAGTCCCCAAACCCATCAGGGGATAAACCTCCATTTCTAACAAAATGAGAAACAAAGAGGCTGGAGTGCAGGACCCCAGAAAATAATAGGGCAGAAAGCCAACCCACTTCTCCCAGCACCCACTGGGTGTCAGCTCAGCTACCTCTAGCCACACGAGCCAAGGCTGGGGCAGGGCATGAGCTGCCAGCAACCGCGGTCTATTCAGCAGCCCCTACCTGCGCCCCTAGAAGGGGGAGGAGAAAGAGATTGGACAGCAATTTAGAACAGGACGAAGCTTCCCCTAGATGGCCGCCAAGAAAAACAGGACAGAGCCACCTCCCCTCACGCCGCCGCTACCACCCCCCTCACATCCGGGAAGGGGCAGCGCTGGCAGACACCCACCACCGAAAAAAACCTCCCACCAGGACAGGGACTCAGACCACTGAGAAAACAACGGCCATCCCCAAATCAGTAGGCGGGAATAGGCGAAATAGGCGCCAGGCTTACCCTGAACGCGCGAGACCAAGTTGTTATTGTCGCCCATGCCCACTACCTACGGCAGCAACAATCCTCAACCCCCCCTGCGTAGTACCTACCCAATGTGCTCACAAAACAGCAGAAGGAAAAGGAAAAACAGAAGAAGAAACCACCACCATCACGTAACCACCACACACCTGCGCACCCACCAATCTCGATCCCCTCCTCCACACACGCATGAAGCCGCTTCCCGTCACGTGACGTTACATAACGTGATCGCTTACCAGCTTCCTTCCCCGCCTCTTCCGCGTGCTTAGTTTCTCATGCATGATTAACGCGTGCATATCCATCTACCCTTCCCCTTATTTCAGCACTACGTGAGCAGGGTGGAGGAAAGTGGTCCTTTCATTCTCACGTGACAGGGCTTCGCGCACCCCCTCTTTTTCTAATGCGCGCGTCCTGGAAGCGGATGGTTGGTTCTGTCCATGACCCCGGTGAGGGGAGATAGTGCGGGGAGTGTTTCTATTAAGGACCGAAGGGCCCCCTCGCTCTCAGGAAGTGGCAGTGCTGCTTCGTTGCCGCCAGCTGTTCCGCAGGAGGTCTTGGGGGAGCGACGCAGCCGGTCTTGGGGTCACTCTGGAGGGTTGACGCGCTGGTGGAGCCCGAGCAGGCAGGGCCTTAAGGTTCTGTCAAGTCGTGGGGAGACAGAGGCCCAGCAGCCCCTGGCATGACTTGGGACCTGGCTGAATGTGTTTAGCAACAGGGTGAATGTTCAGAATCATGGCTCAGTTCCTTTATTGCTGACTGAAGAAGCGGTTTGAACCAAGAGCTCTGGGGTTTTGGGAGGTTTTTTACATTTTCTTATTTTAAGGTGGCTTTTATTTTCTGCCCTGCAGGGTTTTGGCAGGAGTGGTTTATGCCACAGGTTAAAGCCTGTTCTGGTTGCCAAATTATGTTCATTATATTTGGTGTCTCAGTCCCAGATAATATTCAAGTTGAGCTGACATGGGTTCTGGGTTTTCTAGGGTTCTCTTGGAGACTTCATCCCAGACCTCTTTGATATTCCAAGCAATCTGTGCGACTAGAGGCTCTACATATTCTCTCTGCAGTTGCTGAGACCAGTGGCCTGAGTGGTCAGGAAATTGGAACCAATTCTGTGGTTGCATCTTTTGCCAGGCTGGACACAGGGAGGCACCCCCTTGAAGGGCAGGAATACCTGGACAAAGGAGAGCTGCACCACAGGAGGAAAAAGGCAAGGAGCGTTTGCTAGGGACTAAGGGAGAACAGTAAGGGGATGCCACAGAAAAAGTATGTCAGAGCATTTGGTGCAGTTTCTGGCAATCTAAACTGAACAGTGACAAGACAGATGTTGAGAAAGGAATGTTGCTTGACTCCCGAAGAAGAGTAGTTCCAGGCTGTGAGCCAGAAAAAAAAATAAAACAAACAACAGAACTTTTTAGGCTTTTTCTTGCTGTGCATTTTTCCCATTCTGTACAGCACCTCTGGTTGCCCCAATGTCGTGGTTTAAGCCCAGCCGGCAACCTAGAACCATGCAGCCGCTCACTCACTCCCCCCCCTCCTTCCTCCCCCTGCTCCCTGAGGGATGGGGAGAAGAGAAAGAATGTAACTCCCATGGGTTGACATAACAACAGTCCAGTAACTAAGGTATAACACAAAACCACTACTGCTACCACCAATGATAATAATGATAAGGGAAATAACAAGGGAAGAGAATACAACCACTCACCACCCAACAACCGATACCCAGCTCGACCGGAGCAGCAATCTAGCCCTTCCGGGTAACTGCCCCCAGTTTATATACTGGGCATGACGTGCTGTAGTATGGAATACCTCTTTGGCTATTTTGGGTCAGGTGTCCTGTTTCTGCTTCCTCCTGGCTTCCCCTCCTAACTGGCAGATCATGAGACTCAGAAAGTCCTTGATCAGAGTAAACATTAGTTAGCAACAACCAAAAACATCAGTGTTATCAGCGTTGTTCCCAGGGTGACAGTCAAAAATACAGAACTGCACCAACTACTAAGACTGAGAAAAATGACTGCTACTGCTGAACCCAGGACACCCAAATGTAGCATTGTACTTTCCTAGCATCCCTTCTTTGTAAGGCCTGGCATTTTAAGGCATGGCTTTCTTAGCCTATATGGAAATTGGTCCCTGCTTGGCATGCTACTGAACATCTAGGGTTGGTGAATGGTGATGGGGCCACCAGATAGATAGCAGATTCTTGTGCCTCCAATGATACATCCCATATTTTTTGATCTTTTTTGTGGTCTTATTTCCTTTACTTCTATTTGCTCATCCTTTGTCCCTTGACTTCATACTCTCCACATAAGTAGAGAGGGCATGAAATCTCATTTTACTCTAAGCAATATCTGAGAACTAATGTGTTTGTGTTTCTGCCTTCTCTGCTTAGACAGAGTAGACCTATATAACTAACCTGTGTCCTGGACTGACCTTGATATTTATTACATGGATGAGCAGGAGCTATGACAGTTCCTACTGCTTGGAAGCAGTAACACCTCCCTATTCCCATCCTTTTCCAATAAAATAGAGGGTCCTTTAGAGCTAAATTGAAAATCAGACCAAACAGTGCATAGGTAGTGTTGATTTTCTTGAGGCAGCTGTTGATATTTTGGTTTATTACTATTGGGAGGAGGGAATTAGTTATAGGTCTAAACAAAGTTTCACAAACTTCACATGCCTGCGGATCCATAATCTGTGCAGATTTAATCAGTATTAACATTCTTTCATCATATTTGGCCATCCTTTGCTAATCAAGATGGATATTTGATATGCAGCATGCAACAACAAAGGCTAAGGGCTCTTGGGATGCTAGAGTCAGATGGTGTGGTGCCAGCTACAGTGTCTCCAAATATCACACAGAATGCAGCCCAGGAGCATTTGGAATAGGGGAAATTTAAACAAGGATACCAGGACAAAAGCACCATAGACTCACTGCTGTACATGGTGTAAATAATAAATGAGGAAATGGCATATTTCACTGCCAGAGCTTCCAGAGGAGAACTAAAGGAATATACTGATGGAGGCTTGGGGACACAGACCCTCACTCCAGATGTTCAGTATGTCAAGTTTGGAGAGGAAATCCCACATTAAACGCAGCGAAGGTCTGACCAGGCCTGACAGGCAAATTCTACCTATTGCCTGTGTCAGGACTTCCTCTGCCGTTACAAGGATTTGCAACCATTTCAATTATCCAACTACTAAAGAATAATCCAGCGCAGGTGCAAAACCCACCAGACTGTATGTTAAAGGATTGCTTCAGGACTGCTTTTCTCAGTCACCTACTGCAGATTTCTTAAATAGTTTGCGGTCCATGTACCACAAGCTAGAAACCACCATTCTGGTGGTTGCCAGTAATATCTGGGAGTGGCACTACCACTGTTGCTGAGTGGCTCAGCCTTGGCCAGCAGCATCTTGGAGCTGGCTAGCATTGGGTCTATCAGACATGTGGGAAGCTTCTATCAGCTTCTCACAGAAGCCACCCCTGTAGCACCCCCACTAACCAAAACTTTGCCACACAAACACAATACAACAGACTAAGTATATGGACAGTGAGGTGGATTGAAAACTGGCTGAACTGCTGGGTTCAAGGGGTTGTGATCAGTGGCACAAAGTCAAGCTGGAGACCAGTAACTAGTGGTGTACTCTAGGGTTTGGTCCTGCCACCAGTGCTGTTGAATACCTTCATTAATGACTTGGAAAGTGGGGCAGTGTTGCCTCAGCAAGTTCACAGATGACACAAAACTGAGACGTGATTTGGAGAAATCTCCAGGAACAAACTTGCCAACAAAGTTTTCAAGCTGGCAAGCAGGTATTCTTTATTGCGGTGCCGGGAGACATGGGGGATAGCTCCTCCTAATGTGTGTCCCCGTATTGCTACACAAGCAGTCTTTATATAGTCCCTGGGCATACATACATATTCATGAGGCTACATATGGATTACATCATTTTCCAGAAAGTTCTCCGCATGCGTACAGAATTGCGGTGGTGGTCTCTGAGGGTCGTTTATTTCTTCCAACAATCTTCATCACTTCTGGCAGCCTTTGAAGCACGCACAGTAGATGCTTATATTGGTTCGTTAGCACCAGAGACATAATAATCCTCCTGTCCTCCTACTTATCAGTTGGTTTAACTGTAGCCCATCCTGGACACCTGCCATTCCCAGATACTCCTTATCCCTGTGTCCTGTTCTTCTAGACTGTTTTTCTTAAAACTATGTCAACTATAACGATTTATCTTGTACAAGAATTCTCAGTATGTTCTCTAGATGTACTCTACTTTTTTTTCTGTGTATCATGCACCTCAATAGTTTTCCATTGCTACTGTTACAAAGCCATCAAACTTAAAATTACTTAAAACTGATTCTAAAGGTTTATATATTCCATATTGTAGTTTTGTTCTCCCCCTTGTCTCAAATCCCCCCTTCTCCGTCCTTTTGCAAATTCTTTTGCAACACTTTATATGCTACCATTGCTGTCTAAAGTATTTTTGAAATCATTTCCCATTTCTACTTGATGCTTGATTTCATTTCTCTTCCAGTCTTCATAATTTATCATAGACCATTTACAACACCAGAGGGAACATTGTATCATACTACAAGTAATCAATATTAAAACAATTAACATCAATATTCCTGCAACCAGTTGCCTCAACCAGGAGAGATTAAGTAACTATGAAGTCAACTTTTTCCGTATTTCTTCAAAACCCCAGGAGATGTCATCCATGGCCATTTCATGAAATATCTTAGTTTGTTTCCAAATTTCCTCAGGATCTGTTTCAATTCTGTCACTTTGGTCTATATAGGAACAACAACTTTCATTGATTATGGAACAAACCCCTCTTTGTGATGCCAGTAACATGTCTAGAGCCATTTGGTTTTGTAATATCACCTTAAATAGGCTAGTTATCTCTTGTTGTTCTGCCTGGATTATATCAATGTTTTTACTTTCCATTTCCTCTATGGTTGCTGAGATATTTACGATTGCCTTCTCTAATTCACTTACTCCCAAAGATGGAATTAGCCCTCTTACAAAACTATGAAATGTGGTGTGCCATTCAATAATAGGGTTAAACCCTTGCTTAATTTGTTTAGCAAAACTTCTAATCCAGGTCCCGGAAGGATACCTGTTGATAATAGTAAAATTGGGTATTACAGCACCTAAAGTGCATGCCCCCTTCCAGTTGGGGGGTAGAGTCTTATAAGCATTTTCTCCACATAACCAATACCATCCTTTCCTTTTAGGAACGGGCCACCACTGAACTACGATACCATCTATATTAATAGTATGATTGCAATTTGAATGGTGACCTACATCTGTGGCATTTAAAGAAGCATGATCTCCAACCCTGGTTCCTGGTGTAATACATCTTTGTGCTCGGGTATAATATTTATTACCTGGATTAGGATTAACTATTCCAAATGTTAATCTTTCCCTCAGACGTAGATTGCTAGTGTTCACCCACAAATTTGTCCATGAGATAATGTTAGGAACTGGAACTCCAATTAATGGGAGATCCAGGATTTCTCCTGATTTAGGCAACTGTGCACACACCCAACAGTCACTACGATTAAAACCTTAGCAACATTCTGCACTAATTTCAGGTATAAATTCTGGTCCCAAGTTTGTGCACCAGTTATCATATGAGTCCAAATTATGACCGATGCAATTTCATGTGTAAGGGTCCTGAAGGTTCGATCCGCCATGTCTTCTCTGGCTCTGGTGCTTTCTTTATTCTTGAATAATGTATCCAAGCAGGTTGTTCCTTTATCTTCACTGCTGTAAAGGTGGTCAGTAATATCTGGTACGGTCCGTTCCACTTCTGTAGAGGATCTCCTGAAAAATTCTTAACATAAACCCAGTCTCCAGATCTGAAAGGGTGAATTGGATAATCCAAACCTCTTGCTCTTGTCCCTATTATTCTCTCATTTATCTCCTCCAATTGTTTTCCCAGATTGATCAGAAACTGTCAGAGATAGCCTTCTCCCACTTCCTGAAGACTTTCTCCTTTAAACTGGGACTGATATGGTCTTCCATGTAAAATTTCAAAAGGGCTAATCTCTTCTTTTGACCGAGGTTTAGGTCAAATTCTTAATAGAGCCAGTGGTAAACCTTGGTACCAATAGAAATTCATTTCCTGACATATTTTACTAATCTGTTGTTTGATCAGATGGTTCATCTTTTCTACTTGCCCACTGGCCTGAGGCCCGTATGGAACATATAGTTGCCAATCAATTTCCAATTTTTTGCTAATTTCTTTGTCCTGGGTTCAGCAGTAGCAGTCATGTTTTTCCTTTGTGTTAGCTGGTGCAGTGCTGTGTTTTGACTTCCAGCCTGGGAACAGTGTTGGTGAAGCCGATGTTTTTGGTTGTTGCTAAGTGATGTTTACCCTGACCAAGGACTTTGTGAGGCTCATGCTCTGCCAGGGAGGAGGGGAAGACGTGAGGAAGCAGAGATGGGGCACCTGACCCGGGCTAGCCAGGGAGGTATTCCATACCACAGCGCGTCATGCCCGGGGTGGGGGGTAACTGGGAGTTACCCGGAAGGACACGGGCTTCCGGGTGGGACTCGTTTCTTGGCCGGTGGTATCGTATTCTCTTCCCTTGTTATTTTCCCTTATCATTGTTGTCGTTGATAGTAGCGGTGGTGATTTGTGTTGTACATTGGTTGCTGGACTGTTCTTGTCTCAACCCGTAGGAGTTGCACTCTTTTGATCCTCCTCCCCCTTCCTCCGGGAGCGGGGAAGGGGAGAGCCCCGGTGGGGGGGGGTAGCCCTTGATTGTTGTCAGCTCGGCACCACTCATTGGGAGTGAGTGAGCAAGTTGCCTGACTGGGTTTAAACCACGACACTTGTAACAATTTTCCACTAAACTCTGAACCTCGGTCGGAAGAAATTGCCCCTGGTACTCCAAAATGAGGTATTATGTCATTAAATACTGTTTTAATCACTTGTTTTGCATTATTTATCCTACAAGGGAATGCTTCTGGCCAGCCTGAAAAAGTATCCATTAACACCAACAAATATCGATAACCCCCTTTTCTTGGTAATTCAGAAAAATCTGTTTGCCACTGCTGTCCCGGATAACTTCCACTCCCAATTCTCCCGATTTGATTTCTATTTTCAGTTTTAGGATTATTCTTAAGACATAGCTGACATTGTTTTGTCACTAATTGAACTGTGGTGTATAGATTCCTTCCTACAATTTGTTTTTTTAAGTATTTATACAAAGAGTTGCTACCCCGATGAGTTTTATTATGTTCCTCCTGAACTAACTTCCAGACCTGGTTATAGGGGATTACAGTTCGCCCATCATGTATCTGAACCCCACCCTCTTTATTTTCCTGTTCTTTTAGATCTTCAATAAATTTCCTATCCTCTTTTGAATACCTAGGTTTAGATTTTTCAATTGTTACTTTGCCATCAGGGATTAAGGGCATGATTTGAGATTGTTCAGCAGCTCGTTTGGCTTCAAAATCAGCCAAATTATTTCCATTTTCCTGATCAGAGTCACCTTGTTGATGTCCTTTAGAGTACATAACAGCTACATCTTCAGGTAGCTGAACAGCTTCCAGTAATTGTAGAATTTCTGTAGCATGTTTAATCTGTTTCCCTTGTGTGTTCAGAAGTCAGCTGACAAAGATGTTGGGGAAGCTGAGAGTAAGCAGGAATGCTTGCTCCTGGCCCAAACTGTGCAGGGGCCTCAAGCTTCACCTCTAGCTCATGAAGGAAAGAAGGAGTCTGTTAACCTGGGAAGCTGGGAATTAGTGACAAAAAAAAACAACAAAAAAAATGGAGGAAAAGGACAACCAAAAGCAAGGGGCTTCCCCCTAAATCCCCTGTCCCCACGCAGAACAGCTTTGCTGTCCTGCAGGGGGCTAATGAGGAAACGCACTTGAGCCAGAAACAGCCGGCTGATGCCCTGGTAAAGATCTTTTGCTGCTAGGCAAAGGTAGCGGGTCGTAGTAGTAGGGGACCCTACACTGAAAGGGACAGAAGCACTCGTCTGCCGGCCAGAGCCCATCTCAAGGGAGGTGTGTTGCCTACCAGGGGCACGGATCAGGGATGTGGCAGAGAGGCTGCCTGCTCTAGTAAGTCTCACGGACTATTACCCACTCCTGGTGATACATGTGGGTGCTAGGGATATAGATAGTAGTAGCCTGGGGAACATAAAGAAGGACTACAGAGCCCTGGGGGAGGTGGTTAGGGGCTCTGGAGCTCAGATGGTCTTTTCATCAATTCTCCAGGATACAGGGGAGGACATAAAAAAAGCTAGGAGGATTGGCCAGGTTAATAAATGGTTAAAAGGGTGGTGTCATAGTCAGGGGGTTGGGTGTCTTGAGCACAGGACCCAAGCTTGTAGGCCAGGTCTAGTGGGGGCTGGTGGAGCTGGTCTGATGATAAAGAAGGGAAAGAGCAGTTTTGGTAGGAGGCTTGCCAGACTGGTCAAGAAGGCTTTAAACTAGATGTGTTGGGGGAGGGGAGCATCATTACATTCCAACACACCCAGTCAGTTGCCAGAACCTATAATAAATGCTTGGAGCAATGTAGAGATATCCCAGCTGCTCTAGTCAATGAGCTGGCTTCAGTTGGAGCTCGGCTCACATGCCTCTATACAAATGCCCATAGCATGGGGAACAAACAAGAGGAATTAGAGATGTGTGCATGTCTACGGGGGTATGATATAATGGGCATCGCAGAAACATGGTGGGATGGCTCCTATGACTGGAGTGTTGGAATGGAAGGTTACATGCTCTTTAGGAAGGACAGGCCTGGCAGGCGGGGAGGGGGAGTTGCCCTTTATGTTAGGGACAGGCTGAAGAGTATGGAACTCTGTCTGGGGACAGGTGAGCAGTCCACAGACAGTTTGTGGGTCAGTGTTAAAGGGAATATAGCTATGGGAGACATTACTGTGGGGATCTGTTACAGACCGCCTGATCAAGGAGAACCTGCAGATGGAGCACTCTATAGACAGATAGGAAAAGCCTCACGCTCACAGGGCCTTGTTCTCATGGGTGACTTCAACCACCCTGACATCTGTTGGAAGGACGGTACGGCCCGGCACAAGCAATCCAGGAGGTTCCTCGATTGTGTAGAAGACAACTTCCTTCTGCAGGTAATAGAAGAGCTGACAAGGAAAGGTGCCATGCTTGACCTCATGCTCACCAACAGGGAAAGGCTCGTTGGAAATGTGACTCTCCAGGGCAGCCTTGGATGCAGCAATCATGACATGGTCGAGTTTGAGATCCTCAGGACAGTGAGAAGAGCATGCAGCAAGCTCACTGCCATGGACTTCAAGAGAGCAGACTTTGGCCTCTTCAGGAAACTGCTTAGGAAGGTTCCATGGGATATAGCCCTAGAAGGCAGAGGGGCCCAAGACTGATGGTTGATATTCAAGGATCACCTGCTACAACCTCAGGAGTGTTGCATCCCAACTAGAAGGAAGTGCAGCAGGAGGGCCAGGAGACTTCCATGGATGGATAAGGAGCTCCAGAGGAAAATTCAAATGAAAAAAGAGGCTTATAATAAGTGGAAGCAAGGACAGGTGGCCTGGGAAGAATACAGGGATGTTGTCTGGGAAGCTAGGGACCAGGTTAGGAAAGCTAAGGCCCAGTTAGAATTAAACTTGGCTAGGGGTATTAAAGATAACAGGAAGGGATTCTACAAGTACATAGCAAATAAAAAACAGACTAGGGAGAACGTAGGCCCCCTCCGGAAGCTCTCAGGAGAACTGGCTACACAGGATTTGGAGAAAGCTGAGGTTCTGAATGACTTCTTTGCCTCGGTCTTCACTGCCAAAGGCTCTGACCAAACCATCCAAGTCTTGGAAGTCAGATGCAGGGACTGTGAGAATGAAGACCTTGTGCCCACTGTAGGAGAGGATCTGGTTCGAGACCATATTAAAAATCTGAATGCGCACAAGTCCATGGGTCCTGATGAAATCCATCCGCGGGTCCTGAAGGAGCTGGCGAATGAAGTTGCGAAGCTGCTGGCCATCATATTTGAGAAATCATGGCAGTCAGGTGAAGTTCCCAATGACTGGAAAAAGGGGAATATACCCCCCATTTTCAAGAATGGGAAAGTGGTTGACCCAGGGAATTACAGACCAGTCAGTCTTACCTCTGTGCCTGGCAAAATCTTGGAGCAGATTCTCCTGGAAGGCATGCTAAGGCACATGAAAAACAACAAGGTGCTTGGTGACAGCCAGCATGGCTTCACTAAGGGGAAATCCTGCCTGACTAATTTGGTGGCCTTCTATGATGGGGTGTCGTGGTTTAAACCCAGTCAGGTAACTTGTTCACTCACTCCCAGCGAATGGTGCCGAGCTGACAACAATCAAGGTCCGTGTCCGTCTCCCCCCCCCCCTGCACCGGGGCTCTCCCCTTCCCCTCTCCCGGAGGAACGGGGAGGAGGATCGAGAGAGTGCAACTCCTATGGGTTGAGACAAGAACAGTCCAGCAACAAATCACCACCGCTACTATCAGCTAAAACAATGATAAGGGAAAATAACAAGAGAAGAGAATACGATACCACCGGCCAAGAAAGCGAGTTCCACCCGGAAGCCCCTGTCCTTCCGGGTAACCCCAGTTACATCCTGGGCATGACGTGCTGTGGTATGGAATACCTCTTTGGTCAGTTTGGGTCAGGTGTCCTGTCTCTGCTTCCTCCTGGCTTCCCTTCCCCCCTGGCAGAGCATGAGGCTCACAAAGTCCTTGGCCAAACCAAAACATCCTTGTTATCAGCTCTGTTCCTGAGCTGAAAGCAAAACACAGCACTGCACCAGCTACCAAGAAGGAGAAACATGACTGCTACTGCTGAACCCAGGACATTATCCACCCCTTATTCCATACCATTCACGTCATGCTCAGATCCCACATTTTCAATATACTCTTATCTTAGTGCATGGACCAGTCCCTATAAAGCTGCTGCGTCCATCTGGTCCATGTCAGGCTCCATCTCTTGTAACAGTTTTCCAGAGCAGGAGAGACTGTGTGCAGTGTTCACACTCGTGAATAACCTGGGCAATAGTGTCCATTGTTAAGTCCACCCCTCGATCATGAGTCCATCTCTGTGTTGCATCTCTGCTCTGATGGCCTGAAGTGCCATGGGCCCACCAGGCTTAAAATAATTCACTGTCCCCTTAAGCAGTTTCTGCAGCTTGCTGCTGGGGACTCCATACAGCTGCCTTCCATCTCCGACGCTTCCAAAGCACTGGAGGGGCCCAGTGGACTAGATACTTGCCCAT